AGGGGTCCTGTAGTTATGTCTGGCACGATGATCGTGCTGAGTTTCCCTCGAGCGTGATGCTCGGTGGTTGAAGGTCACACGCCCGTCCCCGGCGTTCCTCTTGTCGTGCCTTGATGGGTCGCGATTGGGTTCTCCGGCAGGGATGGCGGGCTGTCTCTCATGGTAGGGCCGCCTCTGCTTTGGCCGGGGAGAAGGGCTCCTGGAGTTCTCCCTGTAGTGTCTTCGTGGGAGAGAAGGGTGTCGAACTTCCGTGACCCGAGGAGGTGGAGAATATGGCCTCCGATGCCTCCTCGGGGGTCGTCGATCATCTTCAAGTGCCCTTAATCTTTCTCCTTGGGCGAAGATGAGATAATTTGTCTGATTAATGGCCGCGAACAGTGCCTGAGTCGTGGCATCTGCCCCGGCGGGAACTGGGACTTCATAGAACCGGGCAACTCTATGATGAGCGAGAGCTACCGGGTCGTCTTCGAGTGCTGGAGGGGTCGTAGAGGATGATGTAGTAGCCCCGTCCCTGTAGGAGGAAGGTCCAGGGGCGGTTGTCACAGGGATGGCACTGTGGCCGGGATCACCGGGGTTATCGAGGTGTCCATTCTTGTCCGCGGTACCGTTATTAGTGTCGGCGACACGGACGGGCTGCTCGTCGCGAGCTGGATCAGCCATGACAGGTAGTTGAATTGAGCTTTGGTCTTTAGAATTGTTCGTTAGACGGGGAAGCTAGTTTCCCACAGACGGCGCCACTGATCTGACCTGATCAGAAATGGACCGTCACGGCTGGCTCCGAGCAGAAAGCTTTTTTGAACGAGGTGGGGGGGGGGGGGGTACCTGCAAGGCACTCCGATGCTGAAGTAAGTAGGAGTACGAGCAGATAATAGCAAGTGTTAGGTTAGAATGATGAATACATGACCCTCTGGAAGCAGAGGGTATTTATAGCCCCCAGCGCTGGGCCAAGGTTCCTTCACTGGGCCGGGCAGGTTTGGCCCAATGGAGGAACTGCCAGGTTCTACGTGCGTAGTGGGGACCCGCACGTGGTCCCCTTCCTGGATGTTTTGCGTGAAATGCGGGCGGACGGAGACGCTGTCTTTTCGGAGTATCGTTGGGGGAACGGTGGACTGAGTCTGCCCTAGCTGGGGTGCTCGAGGTAATGTCGAGCTGGACCTCAGACTGTGGTGCTGGACCATCTCATGTCGAGCTGGAGGCGTACCGTCGAGCCAGCGACTGCGCGTCGGGCACGGTCTCACTCTTTGGTCGGCGTGGCCCTTGTAAGTCCATTTGGACTGGGCCTTTGCAATGCTTTTGGGCCTGTCGGGTCCAGTCCAGAATAATATATATATATATATATATATATATATATATATATATATATATATATATATATATATATATATATATATATTTGAAACATGATTCCCAACATAATCTATCATATATAGTTATAGTATAAAAACAGTATATAGATGTATGTTATTTTCTTCTTCGCTACAGTATATATAGCACTTAGCACTTGATTTTTCTACAGTAAGATAGTAATATATATTAATTGGAAACTCCAACTTGTTATACATTATCGTTATACACAAAATAAATAAAATTGACTTTTAATGATACGAAACAACTTTATTGATAACTTTAACAACACTATTGATAACTCTAACAACCCTACTGACAACTCAATTGACAATTGTAACAACTTCATCGAAATTAAAAATAACTTAAATTAGCTAAATAAACTCAATTCTTTAATTTCTAAATATTATACTATTATTTATTATTATTATTATAAACTAATGATATATATATATATATATATATATATATATATATATATATATATATATATATATATATATATATATATATATATATATATATATATATATATATATATATATATATATATATATATATATATATATATATATATATATATATATATATATATATATATATATATATATATATATATATATATATATATATATATATATATATATATATATATATATATATAAACTTGAATATATTACTCTATATGAATAAATTAGTAAATTAATGAAACAACATAGATATATATTAGTCTGGTTTATCTAAATCACGCTACAGTACATACATAGACCATAAAGCTACAGTATACACGTACTATTATAGTGAAGAAATGTGTAGGTCAATATCTAATTCCTAATTAAGCCAATGTATAACACAAAAATTGACGATACATTACCGAATAGATATGTTGAAAGAAGTCGCTACAGTATCTCCCACTTTACTATTCTCCATTTAATTCTTAAGTATAACACACCGTAAGTAAATCTACATTAGGTACAATATTAAATTGGGTTCTCAATTTATCTATTAATTTCAACAATATATCAATTTCAAACACAAACAGAAACAATTTTACAACATAATCTTACATACTATTCATCACATACCCTATTATAGAGTTAGAACCCCACTCGTACCTTGGATTGAAGGTTTCTTTAACTCTCCGATTGACTCCTAGATTTGCTTCTTTTTGCAGTTTCCACGTATCTCTTCTCTAACCCTTATTCCTCTTCTATTGCCAAAAACCTATTTTTCCTTTACTGCTACTTCTCCTTGTTTTTCTCTTATCAACTAACCAATTTAATAATAATATTATTATTATTCTATTTGTCTTATTTAATCTTTTGAGCCTCATTTCTACACCCCTACTATTCCTATTTCTAACTATTGAAAGTCTATTTAATTAGTAATAGTATTATTCTAATACTATTTCTACAACTTAATCAAATAAATTAATTCAAATAACAACAACACAACTTAAATCAATATTCCACAACTTTGACAATTAAATCCAAAAAAAATATTCGAAAATATTTAATTAAATAATTAATTAAATATTGTTTGTTACACTATCCATGTCATTCTTGTGAACTTTCCATAAATGATAGAAACTGCTTCTTTTCTCCAAGTGAAGGTACTTCAAATGGACCACATATATCATAATGCACAACACCCAAAGCATGAGTTGCTCTTGGAGGCAATTCTGATGAGAAAGACAATCTTAATTGTCTGATGTTCCAACATTCACCTTGAATTTCCTATTTTATCCTAGTTCATACTGCATAATTAATTTCTGATTACAATCATACAACTTCAAGAGAATATCATTCATGGTTACTGAAAAACCTTTTTCAATGAGTTGACATACACTCATCATGTTGCTCTTCATCATGTCGAAAACATAACATACATCCTAAATCAAAGCAGTTTTTCCATTATGCAATTTTACTCTGACATTTCCCATTCCTTCTACATTTAGATACTTATATTAACACAACTGATCTTGGTCTTTCAACCAGAGTCAAAATTAATCAGTCATTGCTTGTTTCCAGTTAGGTGATTTGAGCAGCCAGTATCCACATACCACCAATCTACCATTTTTTCACCTTCATTATCAGATTCCATCAATAGCACGAGTTCATCCTCTGAATCTCCTTTGGCTATATTTCCTTCTTCACACTTGCTTTCTTTATTTAACCAACAATCAGAGGCAAAGTGGCTAAATCTGTTACAATTGTGGCACTGAATCTTTCCCTTATCAAACTTCCCATTTCCCTTTTGAATATTCTTATATTTCTTCACTTTTGAAGAAAAGGGTTATGACTTCTGAACATTCTTTTCTTGTTTTCTATCCATGATTGTCTCTTATTCATCTTAACATAAGAAGACTTCTGAGCCTGTTCTGACTCCCTTTCAGAGTTCCTTTCAGTCAGACAAAACTCTTGTACCTCTAGACTACTTTGAAGTTCTTCAATTCTCATGGTGCTATAGTGTCTTTAGAATATTTTATGGCTACAATTATATAATCAAACTGAGCATTAAGGGATATGAGTACCTTTTCAATGATTACTTGTTTAGAGAGAGTTTCTTCACAAGTCTTTATTTCATTTGTGATCAAAGTCACTCTGGATATGCAATCTGGTACTTTTTCATTGTTCTTTATGTTAAGGTTCTCGTATTGCTTGCGTAGGGACTGCAACTCCACTTTCTTAACTAATGTGTCACCACCATAGCACCTTACCAGTATATCCCACGCTGCTTTCTCTGTCATCGCATCGACAATCTTCTCAAACACCTTTGTATCCTCACATTGATGGATATAGAACACACCTTCTGATCCTTCTTCCTCGTATCTCGTTGCGCATTTCTTTGCGCTTATTTTTCGTCTTCTACAACTGGCATGTAATCGTTATTGAAGAGATTAAGAACATCTTGAGCTTCAAACAATACACGCATCTGAATCGACCACTGATTCTAATTCTTTCCGTTAAACACTAGAAGCTTTATGTTAACCTACTATTTCCACTGTTCAACTTCGTTCTTGTGCAAATCACTCAAATCTCACAAACACTCGTGTTTTTTAAACCTTAATAATCAAGAAATGTGATTCTTCTCCAATGTCGATCTTCAATTCAGTGTGAATTTAAGGAACGAAATCAATCACACACCTCACGTATCCTCGTGTTTTTTAACTAACTTTTCTAATCACTTTTCATCATAATTTTATTGTTAATGAATTAGTTTAGAAAATTTTATTATCAATTAACTTTATTAAAACTTAAAATTAAATTATTTATGTGGTTTAACCATTTTTAAATGAATTGAATAAGAAATCAAAAAGAAAAAAAAAAGAAAAAAAACACAATGGAAGAGGAGCTAGCTGGTAACGAGTGACCGGTGAATCAGCTTAGTGGGCTTTCCACCTCTTGCCTTTGCCTTTGACTTGTATTTTTCCCTCACTCGCTCATGATTGAAGAGATGACACATCTTTCATTCCTTTCAAATAGGCTTCCAGATGTGAATACTCAATAAGATGATAAAGTCTGAACTGAACTTAATTCCAGCCATAGCATATAAACTAGTAAAAACTGAAAATGTAAATTGAAATGTTGTCCAATCTTTATTAATATGGTTATATTTTTTTACAAAATTTTGAAGTTACTAACTTGTGAGTGGTGTTACCCAACAAGTTCACTTACCACTTCATTCAACAATTGATCAAAAATTTTTGACTCAAAATCAGCACATTGTTCTTTAATCCATGCATCAACTAATTGGTTCTTCGAACCTGCCAATTCATCTTCAACTAGCTTGCTTGCTTCACCCCAAATCCCTATATACTCCTTCACCTTCTTCTCTCTCTTCTTTGTTTCTTCACATTTGTTCTTCTCAATTTCCTTATCCTTGTTCTCATCAATCATCAAATTATCATCACATCGCATAAGAATATGCTTTCCCTTTTCAAGCTCTGGTGTCAACTTTCTTCTTGAAATCGAACCAACTGCAACAGAATCTATGCCTGCCAAAAAAAATTTGAAACTTAACTAAATTTATTGAATTCACCCGTGACTCTGCAGGACTCGGAGTCAATTCAAACGTAAACTAGAATGAAGGAACACGATGTGACTGCAACTGCGGTTTAAAACCTTAGTAAGACTAGCATCATAGAGGAAAGCTGAGCACGTCGAATTAGCATAGGAAACAAACCTGCTGCACAAGATTTGCGGTCGAATTCAAGAACAGAAACAGGACTTGAATCTTCTGATTTAACACATTCAGTTTCTACCTTCTTTTCTGCATAACAATTTGTTCTCTTTTTCCTAATTCTCTTCCTCTTCTTCATCTTTTCACCAACCACAGATTCGTTATAGTTCCTCGACTTCAACAACTCAACTGCTTCTGAATCAAAACACTTGTTCTCAGACGAATCCTTGAACCGATGCAAAGTGTTGGTGATTTCTTGAAGTTTATTCGACACCCTTTTGCTCGTTTTCTCTTTCTCAATCAAATCGTTCTCATCATAAACATTTTCCTTTAGTTCAGTTCTATCTTTTGCTGCCACTTTCTGCTTCGATTCCGAACAACCCGTTTGCTTTTTTCTCCCATTGGATTTCAATGCTTTACAATTCTCAACTTCATTTTCAAAGCTAAGCACAAAAAAGTTATCATTTTCACTTAATCGAAAAGTCGGGGCTTCCCTAAATGACAATGTTGAACTAACTCTCTTATGATTCAGACTCTGAACTTTTCCATTGCTCTCTCCCAAATAGTCCATAGAGTTCATCGATTTGCTACGCGAAAGTGATCCCGGTTTGGACGCAAAAGGTATCTCTATCTCTCCCATTGATTCCAAACCCATTAGCCTTGCCACTAATGGAGGAGGAGGAGTAACAGCAGCATCAAAGTTTTGATCTTTTCCACTCAGAACAGAGTTTGTTGAATCAAATTCGGTAACTTGATTGGATGAATCTTTTGGAAGATTTCCAGAACAGAGAATCTTGTGCATGATGGCTGTGAAACAGCCTGTAGTGGTGCTTTTGGAGCTACACATTGGTGTGTTGGAAGAAGTTGATGGAGATACATTTGAACAAGATGTAGTTGGAGTTGAGAGTTTCATAATTTGAATGATCTAAGAAAAGATACACATAAAGAGAAAATAAAAAACTATATAATAAAATAACTATACAAAATGAAAAAGTGAAATTTGTTATTTTGTTTCATTCCTAATCTCCCCCATTTAGTTCAATGACAAAAGGAATGATTTCCAATCATGTAATACAAACATCTATGGAAAGAAAAGTGTCCAAGAAACTAATATCAAACATGAGTAACACACGTCATACTCAATAATATTGACTTAACAATTTAAAAAATATATATTTTTAAAATTATAAAATAGAAATAAAATATATTTTTTCTAACCATACGATCAAGATCAGACAATTAATATTAACTTGATCGCGTGATTGCATGGAAAAGTTTGATTGTAGTGAATTCAAATTCAGTGTTAAATTCAAATTTGTTATAGTTGTCAAATCACGCCATCAAACGATTGTGATTGTCCAATTAAAATCGGTGAATCCTTATATAAGATCAATAATTTGAAAATATAAAATAGAAATAAAATCTATTTTTTTCTTCTAATCATACAATTAAGATGAGATAGTTAATATTAACTTGACTGCGTGATTGCATGAAATAGTTTACTATAATAGATTTAGAATCAATATTGAATTCAAATTTATTGCAGTTATCAAATAACGTATTCATGCAATCAATTTATTGTGACGATCCAATTAAGATCGAACTGTCTAAATATTATATAATCTAAAATAGACACGAACATCTTACTAGATACACTAAGACAGAATGATACTGGCATTATTGATGTGAAGTGTTGATATTATGTAGGATTTGAAATGAATATATAAATAAAAGCAAATGGGAACAATGAAAAGTGGGATTTGAATTTTGCTACAAGAGGGGACAAAGAGTGGCGGGCTTTGGATTTGAATGTTGGAAAGAAAGAACAAAGCTAGAAATGAGGATGAGGTGGAAGTGTTACTTTCATCTTTTTAGCACATTGACAATTTAACATAGTACAGTGTACAATGTTTCCACGCGCATAGTAAAGTCCTATTTTTATGCTAAAATTGTGCATTATTTTCCCATTTTGAGCAGACAAATAAGCACGCTCTTGGGGTGCGTTAAGATACAAGTTTTACTATATTGGTTTAACTTCAAAGTTTCAAAAGACTAGAAAAGCAAAAAGTGCAAGAGGTTGAAAGATGAAGATTGGAACTCAAATCTCAATGGTCTCTAAGTACTGTTTGTGTTCCTTGTCATTTTGTAGCACTGCCAATACTGTCAGTGTTTTGAAGAAGTTCTTTAGGTTCTGACTTTTGGTTATGGTTGTTCCAACAACTGTGTAACTACTTTGATAGTTTTGTTTCTTTGTACTTACCACTCATATAACCTTGATTTTGACAAACACAGAATCATATTAAAAGTAACAAAAGTAACGAGGCAAATCTGGGTGAATGCAAAATAAATGTGGTATTTAATATGATAAAGATGGAGTTGAAACATAATGTGGTAACAAAAGTTAGGATAATATATAATAGTGTTTGTTAAGTAGGTGAAAAATTGCAAAATCATTAATAAAATCAAAAGAGTTATTAAAAGAAGTAATTTGAAGTTCAAACTTTACAAGTATCTTATGCTGGCTCACTTCACGAAAGAAAGAGATGAATAGGTAGTGGACCAACTAATAGGTAGTGGATAAAGTATATCATAAATAGAATATTAGAATTATATATATATATATATTTTGGTCTTTATAAAATCGATTTACAAAGTGAAAGACGTTTTCTCCTTGTATATTTTGAGGTGCTAGTAAGTTAAATGTGATTGAAAGTGGATGTTTAACAATATATAAATAAATGAGAAGACTAATAATGATTTATATGGTAAAGATGTCCTGTCCAAATTCTTTATATGTTACTCCTATCGTATTTATATGTAATACGATGATCTGCTATGCTCTTTTTTCCAATCCAACAATGCTATTAGACTTGATTGTTTGAATAAATGGTACTAACTTCTTGTATTGAAATTTTTTGAAATATGGTGAATAATCAATTTGTCTTTTATTATTAGGTTTCGATAGATGTATAAATATCTATGGGAAAAATGTTTCTATTTGATTTAAAGCAAATCCAAATGAATGGATGAATTCATACACGAGGGCAAGATAATTAGTATGTGAAATGTGGGCAATAGTTTCACACAAGATGACAAGTGAATGTTGAGGAACATTGACATAGTCAGAATTGTGAAGTATTAACAAGCGTTAAACCTTAGAACGAAATACACGTTTTTAAGCAACAAACTTTTTAAATAAAACTCAAGAATCTGTCTGAAAGAGAAAATTATTGAATTTTATTATAATAAAAAATAATCATGACGACCACACCCTAAATTGTTTAAATACAACAAAAAAAAAACTTAATGGATTTTTAATCCAAAACAAAAACAAAACAGAAATATGCATAAACTATTAAAATGTTCACTACAAAAATATATGTCCCCAGCGACATATATTAGCGACGTGCTTATCACGTGGGTAGTAGCGACGTGATAACCACGTCGCTAATATATTTTAATGACATTTAATGGAAACTGGTGAACGTTTGTGGGAGGGAAGTTTGAAATTTTGTAGCGACGTGATAGCCACGTCGCTAAATTTTTGGGGGGAAAAATAATTTCGCTGCGCAGTGTTGGACAGAGAATAGTATTTATGATTGCATTGTAGCGACGTGATTATCACGTGGCAACGTTGCGACGTGACAGTCACGTCGCTACTAGAAGTTACATATGTTAACGTTTTGATTTACAGTAGCGTGCTTCTTCTTCTTCGCCTTTGCTTGCTTCCTATCAAACATACGTTTTGATTTACAGCAACTCTCACAAACTCAAAATTGTTCCTCTCAAATCCAATTTTGCGAATTAATTTTCTTCCATTCCAATTTGTTGAAGAAATCTAAGGTATGCATGTGATGTTAAATGTTTATTTCGTTTGTTCTTTAGTTTTTATACTGGAATGAAGTATTTAATTAACATTTGGTATTTGTTCGATTGTTCGTTATTATTTGTAGAGAAATTTGAAGAACACCAAGAACTAGAAGACGCAAATTTATTGAAGAAATTATATAGAGGTATTTATGCATTTTTTTTTTAGATTTTATATGTATTATATAGATTAGATTTGTATATGTATTTTGTGGTTAGGAATATATGTATATACTGTTAGTAGTATAAAATTACTGATAATAAAAAATTTTTTAAAAACATATTTAATAACATATTTAATATATTTTTTGCATATGTAATTTGTATATGTAATTTGCATATTTTTTGCATATGTGATTTATATATTTTTTAGTAGTATATGTGTATATGTAATTTGCATATTTTTTAATAACATATTTAATATATTTTTTAAAAATTTTTTGAAAACATAAATTTAATAACATATTTAATAACATGTTTTTTATAGATGTAAATTGTATTTATTATAATAGTTTTATTTTTTTATTTATATGTTAAAGATATGGAAAAAAAATTATATATTAGAATAACAATTTATAAAAAACATATTTAAAAAAAGAATATATATATTATATTATTATTTTAATATTATTGTTATATATATAATAATAAATAGTATGTATCTTACATTATTTGTTTTCTAATATTATTGTTGTATATATAATAAAAAGTAAATATGTTATATTATTGTTTTTTGATATTATTGTTATGTAATAAAAAATTATATATTTTACATTTGAATATTTATTTATATGTTAGTATATATATAAAAAAGCAAAATTTATATTTCTAAGAATAGTATTAAATAGTTTAAGAATATTTCTAATGAAAAAGACAATGATTGTATAAATGTGCAGTATGGAATATTATCGGTATTATCGTAGTTGGATGTACGATAGAACATATCCAGGAAGAAGTGGACTTAAACCCAATTTTATAGTAGGAGTTGATGGGTTTATTAAGTGGGCGTTTGCTCAGGATTGTTGTCGAAGCGAAGGAGGGGTTAGATGTCCCTGTCTTAAGTGTGAATGTAGACCAATAATTAGTGACCCAGAGGAAGTAACACGTCATCTGCATAGAAGGGGATTCATTGAAAATTATTGGGTTTGGACGTATAATGGTGAAGAACTACCGGTTAATGTACCAGAGACTAGCAACACGCATGCTTCAAGTAGTCGACCGGTTATGGAGTATGAGGAGAACTTTAATTTGATCGGTGACATGGTTGAGGATGCTTTTGGTGTGAACGTGACATATGATGAACCTGAAGATTTTGACGGGGAAGAGTTGCCGAATGAGGAAGCGCAAAGATTTTATCAATTATTGAACGAGATGAATACGCCGTTGTTTGAGGGGTCGTCAGACTCGAAGCTATCAATGTGTGTGAGATTATTGGCTGCCAAGTCAAATTGGAATGTTTCTGATCAATGTTTGGAACATTTTGCAAAAATGATGTTGGACTCCACCACTACGAAAGACAATTTGCCTACAAGTTATTATGACGCAAAGAAGTGGGTGTCGAAGTTGGGTTTAAAAGTAAGAAAGATTGACTGTTGCATTAACGGTTGCATGTTGTTTTATGACAATGAGTTTGGTACTCAAGATGGATCGTTAGAGGAGTGTAAGTTTTGTAATAGTCCAAGATATCAAGTTCGCAGTAGAGCCGTTAACAGCAAGCAAAAGCGTGTAGCAGTAAAATCCATGTTTTATCTTCCTATAATACCAAGGTTAAAAAGAATGTTTGCTTCAATGCACAGTGCAAGTCAAATGACATGGCATCATACAAACCAAACAAGTTCTGGCACTATGCGACATCCATCTGATGGTGAGGCATGGAAGCACTTTGATCGGACACATCTAGATTTTGCTGCAGAACCTAGAAATGTCAGGCTTGGATTATGATCTGATGGATTTGCCCCATACGTGCAAGCGTCAGGAAGTGCGTACTCTTGTTGGCCAGTTATTGTAACACCTTACAACCTCCCTCCTGAGATGTGCATGACAAAA